TACAAGAGAATACAGTTAGCGTTTCTTCCATCTTCCATGCAAAAACCACAAAGCATCACAGTCTCAGAAGGTGTCTATGCAACTACCATGTGCAAGGTAGACCACACAGTGCGAAGATGCTACAAAAAAGCCCCATGCCTGGATTCTGCAGCTTGCATGCATGGTCAGCACCCCAGAAAGATCACAGTAATTTGTTCTGACATACATTCCCTCTGTATGGTCAGGCTGGAAATTTTACCCATCTTGTAGAAATGTGAACAGTGCCATCCCACAGGGCTCTTCTCAGGTAGACTAAATCGGTGTAGCTCTGCGGCTGTGATGAATACTAAGTAGTACAAATTCGTTTAAGTCACTTGCATTTTTTCTGATCACAGCAGCTGAGGACAAAGTGTATTGAACACTGAAATAGGTTAACATTTGCTTTATAGGTCTATGATAAAACACTAAGTATAGCAGTTCTGTGTTAAGGAACTGCTTGCGACATACATCATCCATCTGAGGTTGAGCAACTGTCCTTGTATTCCACCATCAGCCAAAGACGGCGCATTCCTGGAGGTCTGGTGCTTCCATCATAACAGTTTGGTGGAAGCCCTTTGCTAGACAGTGACTTTACCAAGCCAGCTGGAACATTAGGGCACTCTACAAAGCATTTTGGATTTAAACTTCTCTGGAGAAAAGAGAAGAAACAATATTGGCTCAGCTTGAGATCAGATACTTGATAACTGAGAAATAGGTGAACATAGGTTCCTACCACTCTGGGTTTGGGTGATCCAACCCCAAATATCTTTCCCAGAGAAACTTGTCCACTAGATCTCTCGTTCAGATACCAACATGAAAATTTCTGGCAAATTCAGTATTTGCTGAGAGGAGGAAGGGCAGCAGAGTTGGTCAGATTTAGGCACGCAGAAACTCTGAGTACTTTTAGAAACAAATAAATTGCAGAGTTTGACAAAGACAAGCCAGCTGCTAGATGAACTTAAGTTTACAAGCGGTATGTGAAAGAAAGGAAGGTGACAGGAGCAATCAGCAAAGAGTCAGAATAGAATCAAAAAAAGAAAACAGAGTAAAAGCCACTGCAACCAATTAGCTGGCTGAAAATCAGGAGATTAATCTGAGTAAACAGTCAGCCAGTTTCCCTGGGTCACTATAGCATTTAACAGCAGTACCAGGTCTTCACCACATAAGAGCGATGATGGAAAACGTACAGCAGAAAGAGTTACTCAATGGCCTATTCCTGAACAATGGTCTACTGAAGATGACAAAATTTCAAATTTTGTGTATCATGGAAAACACGACAGTCTGAGACACAGAATGGCCTAACAGGGCAATGGACTAAGGATCAGGTTTTATTTCTATTTCCATTGCAGGCCTGAAAGGTGACAGCAGATAAAGCCTCATGCTCTGCCTCAGTTTCCCCACAAGCAAAGGACGCGGGAGCCTTGCACTTTGAGTCACAAGAAGAGTCCCCACCAATCTGGCTTGAAAAGTGAAAAAGCCTCTGGAAAAAAAAAAAAGTACTGGAAAGATTTCAGTTTCTTGAAAACAAGAATCAGTTCACAAACTCTTCTTTTCAGGGGATGTTCTGTTATCCGAGGAAAAGGAATGGAAAAGTCAATATAACACAAACATATCTGTTAGTTAAGCTGCTTGGGGGCAGATGCAAGCAAGTTGCAATAGCATGGACCTCTGCACTAGCTGTTAAATCCCCAAGTGACACGTGTTCTGCAGAGCAGCCTCCTGTGCAGACACAGCCAAATTCCGAGAACAGGTTTTAAGGCTATCTTGAACATGCAGCTGACTCTTCCCACTCCTCCCTGCTATCCTTAGCATGGAGGTGTGTGAGAAGGCATCTCAAAAGTAGGTGAAGGTTTTTCTGGAGAACACTTCCCTCCAGCAATTGCTGACAGAGGAACAGGCTGTGACGCTGTTGCAAGATGGAAGAAATGATAGCAACCCCTGTAGCTATTATTTGCTGCCATTAACAACATGGGCGATGGGTGGAAAGATAATGGAAAGGCAATGCCATCTCCATGCCCTACCTTCAAGTGCACAGCCTGAAAATCCAGCCTGATGTTTACATAATGTTTTCAACCTGTAATCTGCTAAATGCTGCGATTAAACAATTGTGCTTAAGGTTATAACTGCTTTTAAATTGTACAGTTTAACACCAAGTGTTAGGATTGACAAACACTGTTCACCATTGAGTAACAGAATCCAAGGCTGGGGGCTGAGAGCTGGAAGAGCACCCAATGGTTGTGGAGAGGAGGAAACCCCAAAAGGAGGAGTATTTTATTGGCATCTGGGGCAGAAAAGGGGAGAAAAGTGAAAGGGAGTGGTGGAGGGGCCTAAAACACGTTTATCTAACACAGGCTGTGCTGTTGTGCTTGTACTCTTAAGATACAGAAGCCTGGCACGAAGTAGCAAAAAGACTGTCATTTTACCGGCATAGCAAAGTTTGGGGCAACAAGCCATGCTTGTGTGTGGGGGCACTCCCTCCTAGAGAAACAGATTCTAGTGTGGGGTGCAAGTCTTGCCTCCTAGGGAGAAGAAAATTTGAAAAAGAAAAAAAAAAAAGGAGACTTTTATGCTAAAATCTCTCTTGCGAGCTGCACATCCACTCCTGAGAGCTGAGGGGCAGGAGAGGAAGCTGTGGATGAGTTTCCCCTATGCTAGCGGAGGCTGGTAGTTTTCAACACCACGTCTGGTTTTGCTACGAGCTGAAAGGCCAGGAGCTCTGCAAAGCAGCTGTGAACATGGAGCAGCGCGAAGGAGGGCAGGCTCAAGGAACCCATCTCGTGGGCGCTGGCAGTCCCAAAGCACAACAGTTTGCCACAAGAAGAGGTCAGCTACCTGTAGACCTGTTCTTCACTGAGGACTCTGAAATACGGTCATTTGCACAGTATTCCATTCACATGATGCTGTGCTTACCTATGCAGTTGGCTTTTCCCTTTCTCTCTTTAATGAAGTATTGTTACACTTGGGAATGTGGAAAATGAGCTTGTGAGATACCAGAAGTTTTGGTTTAATTTTTTCCCAGGTTTCTGGACCGGCTTGAAGCTGTTGTTTTATTAACTGGCCGCTGTGACTGCCAAACAAGCCCTGACATAAGTTAGACAAAGAATAATTTAATGCAAGGTTGGACCAGATGATCTCTAGAGGTCTCTTCTAATCTAGACCTTTTTACGATGGTATAAATGGATGATTATTTTTTTTTAATAGCTGCGTGACTTAGAGGCAGAGCTACGTGAATAACTGATCTTTTGGTTAACTGGATGAACTGAAGTTCGAGGAGGGAGACACAATGTTGGGAAACAAGCTTTCTTCTCCTATTACAAAAACACTTAGCAGTGTATAAAGGCATTGCATTCCAGGCAGAATGTAACAATTTCTGCTCCTTTCACAAAGATTATATTCAGTTAGGGTTTTTTGAACAAAATGCTACTTAGGATGAAAAATCAAAATGTTTAAAAACACATTTCAGGCTTTTAAAAAAATGTGTTGTTTTCTTCAGGGAACTATTCATGAATTTCTGAAGAGGCGACTGAAAGCATGGATAGTCTCCAGCGAGCCTGACTTCATTTTTTGCCAGATAGACTATTTCATTAAAAAACAATCAATCCCTTTGTCTGCTTAATCACTGTTCTGACAGGCTGCAAAGGAAAGACGAAGAATTCCTGCTCCACGCCGCACTACACAGAATCGTATGAAGGGTAGATGGAAAGCCAAACCTAATTTTGCAATGTGCCATTAGGGGCTGTGGGCTCTCCAGTCCCACAAGGATAAAATCTTAACAGAACAAGGTCCAGACTTTTAAAAGCAAATGCTTAAAGTTCTGCTCACCAGCCTGCACCTGCCCATTTAAATACCTGAGCTGGCATGCAAGGGTAATCAGCAAGCAGCATCGCTGCTTGTGAGTCAACGGGAATGCTGGGTGATCAGGACTTTTCCAAATCATACCAGTTCCTTCAGAACCTTGGGAGGTCTCGGACCTTGGGTGAGCATTTACATACTCATGGATGCACACAGCTCCCTTGAAGTTAGTGAGACTACATAATCCAATAAGGTTGTGGGGTTTTTTTTACGGGTATTTAGGGAAGATTTTTGAGTCTGACTTCAGGCATTTTTGCTTTTACATTAAATCTTGGCCCAAGATTTTCCTCACATAGTTCACAAGATGCCCTTAAATTCTTTCCCTCGTCTTCTTCCTCACTGGATTGCTAAGTAGAAATAATCATTTGTGGTAACATTCAGCAGTAGTAATAATTCAATATGGAGTAATTAAACAAGTTAAGAGATATCAAACCTCTGCAAAAGAAAAAGTGACATCAGAAAAGACCTTTATAATCTGTTTGAATGAACCTAAATAAACAGAGATTGCTTTCTGAAGCAGCTTCTTTTTTTAGGTGCTGCATCAAAAGCTGAGCTTAAAAGCCAGGATCGCTGCTCCCGGACAAGCCAAGCAAACAGGACTCTGCTCCAAGTATCTGAGCAACGCTTGGCTGAAAAATATAATGAAACGCGAAACAGAGGCAAGACGCTGATTGACTGAGGGCATATGGGAGACCTAAGGACACCAATCAATCATGGATCCGTAAGCTGTTTAAAACTACTCGATGCTTGGGAGCCAGCACGGGAGCAGCATCTGTGCTCTCGGACCAGCTGCAGTGCCTACGAAACCCAACCCGACACAAATTACGGGGAAGCGGTGCCATGAGAGCCCGCTCCCTGCTCTTCCCCTCCACCCGCTGACAGGGAGCACTGCGCAACCTGCACCCCTCGTTAGAGGGTCACTCGAGCATAGCGGTGGAGCCCAGGTCTCTAAACACTTAGACAGCCCACGTTTTCGGCGGTATGCTGTGTTTCGCATCCAGGGTTTCCATGGGCACCTGTTTGGACACGTCAGGATGGGAACGCCCGGCGCGGGCCGCAGAGCGCGCGGGTCGGATGGGGAAGGCAACCGCTGTCACTGCGTTTGAGGCTAATGGGGTTTGATGTCTCACCTCTTGGTTCAGCATGGGCTTGCAGCCCGAGTTTTTGTTGGTGAGCTGCAAGGGTGCTATCTGGCTTGTCATGTCTAATAACCTTCTCCTCTGAAGGCTGATATGCTGAAAGATCTGTGCTGCTGATGTTAAAAGCTGGATTTTCAATGCCTTCTGTTGCTGCTCTCTCTTCTTTTACTACAGAAAACAAGGAGGTCAGAAGAGCACATTATAGCAAAGTGTATTTCAATGACAAGCAGAAAATTCCTTCTAGTAATTCCTTTGCTGAAAGACTCAAGTGTATCGTCCTCAAATGTCGCCAAAACAGAATTAGGTTAAAATTAACTCTAAAAAAAAAAAAAAGAATAAATGATTAAAATAATTACAAATTGCACCCTGACAAGCAAGAGCAAAATTTCGCCCACAGCCATTTGTCTGTAATTAGTTAATTAATCCTTACACAAATTATGAGCAATAACTCATCAAGCAAGGCTCACCCATCAGAAATTCAGCCGACTTGGATTTCTTCTGCTTAGTTTGCTTCAGAGCCTTCTGCTGGAACTTCTGGAGGGAAATTGTTAAATGAATAAATTAGCTAAAGAACGAAGATCATCCTTTATGATCCACAACTAACACAGTATTTTAAATATGGGATGGCATTGAAATGTCATTTAATTTACATCTCTGCTAAAGGGGTCAAACACTAATTGAACAACAGAAGTGGAAGAATTAAATAAAATAGGAGAAGAAAAGTTAAAACAAATGCCAAATGAAGGTCACATTAAAATACTTTGTTTTTTTCCCGATTTTAATTAATGCAAAGAAACCTCAACAAATGAAGAACATTATAAGACTTGTCTTTACAGTATGCATTCAGCAGCAACTGTTTTATTTCACTTGCAGAACTGCAGTGCTTCACTTAGAAAAGTTTAGTTATGCAGCATATTTATAGACAGACTTCCCTGACATCCTCAGTTCTCATATTTTCTAGGTCCACTTACATAACCAGTGTATTTATTCATCCCAGAGCAGCTAAAAATGAATGAGCTCTACAGTCTCGTACGAGGCAACAGAATAAAAATAACTCCAAAACAATTTACGACGAGATGTCACAAAAGAGAGATCGCGGTCCAGGGGAGAAGGGAAGCAGAACTCATTACCACGATGAAAAGTTCATTTAATATTAGAGAGATGTCAACAACAGCTACAGCGAAAACAAATAGCAGGAGATCTTGGAGGAGCTACACTCTGACAAGTTCCATGTTCATTCCTGCGGGGAAGCAAGGCTCAAAAATAAAACCAGTTACGTTACGACCATCGGGAAGGCCCAGGTGATAAACACCATCTTTGAATAATACCTTGAGCAGCGCTAGCAAGAGAGTCACACGTGGGCTCCTACACGGCTACAGACCCCTATAATAGACGAACAGTCAAAGCAAGCAGAGATTATCTAAAACAAAGCACATCTAGGAGTATTAATCAAAGTCAAAACCAAAGTAAGAAAACAGTTCAGACCCATTTATTTTCGAAGGTCACATGGCAGTTTCCTGAAACCTGCATTATTTTTTCAAGCCAGTTGCTTAATTGTCCAGTGATAAAGACCACTCCTGGCAACATAGCTCCTGGAAACTGTCAATACAAAAGGATTAATTACAAGAATCATTGAAAAATTGCAATTTTTGCAGCATCCATCTTTCCCATTTGATTGCAGGTGTCAATTTCCAGTAAAAAAACAACACTTGCAGCAGACACAATCAATAAATCTGTCAAAAATAACTGAACCATAGCACTGACAGATTACTACAGATATTAATACCTTCATATATATATATACACGTATGTATGCACACACGCATGATGTTAGTATGAAAACAGTGGACTTCCTCTAAATTAAGACTACTGCCCTACTAAAAAGCAAATATGTGTAAAAATGACTAGACACATTCTGGAAACTACAGTAAATAAGTACTATAACAGAATTGATTCCTACAAGCCACATGCAGCACCACCGAAGTTAATGATAATTTTGACAGGAGTTCAATAGGTTCAGAAATTCACCCTACTGCTTCTGATATTCTCTCAACTAAAAAAAAAAATCTTTCAAAAACACATATTAACTTAGTTAGTAGCTTTAGAATTATTCCA